TCATTTTAAAATACCCTAACTATTCCTATTGTTGACATCATTATTGATTTGCAAGAGTTTTCTACAAAACAAGGTTAAATGTTATTGTTTAAAAGTTTCCTTTTTGCCCACTGTTTGGAAATTCTTCCTACCCAGCATATAAAAAACTCCTAAGCACAATGAAGCCAATGAAGTATGATTCAATGAAGGCTCAGAACCCAAGAGGGGATATGCAGTTGCTCATGGCTCCGTATTTTGCCTACCACTGGCCCACCAAGCTGCTTATGGAAGACATGACTAGCTGGGAGGGTGCTGGTGGCCAAGGGTCTGGGGTTAAAGGGCAGCTTGGCTGCAGTGTCCCAACCTCTGGTACACTGCATTACCCCATCAGTGACTCACATCAGTTTCCCTCACTGTCATCTTAAGAACAGCATACAAATGACTGAACTTTTGGGAACTGACTGAGCATTTCCTTAATATTTTTCCTGGGGCTCTTACTCAAGGGAATTTTTACTCTTAAGTCAGAGAAGAGGGGGCCAATCCTACCTGCCGTATCACATCTGTTCTACATACATTGAGAGGAAACTGTACCAGTAAAACCATCCAGGGGAACCAGATTCTGAATAAGGATTTGGTCTTCAATCCCTTGCAGGGGTTGTTATCCAGGACTCAAGCAGGTGATGCTGAAGCTTTGCTCTGCTGGGCTGAGCTCTTTATAATACAAATTCAAATGCAGCAGCTTGATTTCTCCCCATAGCTCAAGGACATTTCTCTCCCGTGTGCTTTTAAAGAGGGAACATTGTCTGCTCACTCAGCCTTTCACTGAATATTTCTTCCCTCTTCTGCTTTGATGCCTTAGCTTTCAGTAGGATGGCTTCCAGCTCCCTGGGGGGCAGCAGACATGTTCCAGGAAGGTCATAAACTGCAGTCATACAGAGAAAGCAAAAGATAGGAAACAAGCTATTCAGAAAGGTGTCATCACAGCATCACACAAATAAAGGAAATGAAAAATGGCACCCCAATTCTGCATAGGAAGGGAACTTGGTTACACGCTAACAATACTTTGATGATCACCTGGGCCTCTTTATAGGCTGAGAGAAAATGTCTAAGGTAGTATAACCTACACTAAATCACTTCAGATTCTCAAAGCAGGCAGCTGCGATGGGATCACCTGGCTTCTAGAACACTTCATATAACCTGGCACATTCCCTGCTACATACGTTTTACATCTTCTGTAAGAATGTTAGTATATAAACGTGTGTAAAGGGACTTTACAGATTATGAAAATGAAAGCATTATAATACTTTAAAGATCTGTAACATTTGACTGGATTGAGATTCCTGGAGAGTTGACTGGTTCATGGGGTGTGTACTCAATAGCTGAAGCAATCACTAATGTTCATAAGTGAGTTTGGTGTTAGGTGGGGCCTGGTTTGAGGTTGTGGGTATTACCTTTTGTTACTTTTCTCTGTGCTCTGATTCCCAGATATTGTGAGGTGAGCAGGTTTGCTCCACCATGGCTTCCCACCATGATAGTCTTGCCTTAGGGACAATTGATCATGGACAGAAACAGCTGGAACCTAGAGCAAAATATACCTTGCTTTTAAGTTGTGAGTGTCAGGTATGTTGTCCTGGCAATGAGCAACTGACTAATACACCATGTCTTGCTCCCTGGAATAAAAGGGTCATGAGTGTATTAAATCTGCACAGGTCTGGAATGTTCAAAACAAGTCAGTATAAACTTAGTACAGCATTTGACAGCTCTTAACCTTAACCACTTCAAACTTTCTAATGTCATCTAAGCCTGAAATGCTAATTCTGTGCTTTTTGTCTAAAGTAAATGTAAGACTCATTATCGTCACTCAAAAAAACCCATAATTTCTATCACAAAAATTACATATAATTGCAGTATTTCTCAGTGCTTGTCTAAGATTTTCCTTAGAATAAAAAATTCTAGCTACTGCCCCTTCTATGGAAATATAGCCCATCTCATATGAAATCAACTTATCTTCATACAAAAATCAATTTAAAATATTGGATCCTGTCCTGGTAATTTCATGAGCTAGATCTGGTGAAGTAGTATGCTTTACTTTATCTAAGTTTCTCAATCCTTTGCAGTGATGAATACAAGCCATACAGCTGGATTCTCCAAAAATATCCAACAGCTCAGTATTTGGTCACCTTGGGAAACAGATTAAATTCTTTTTGTTTCTGGTCTGAAGCTCACAGAAATACTAAAGAAACACAATTTCTGAGCTCTCCTTAGGCATGGAAGAAGTTAACATTTGGCATCACTCTCATGTCTTTTCATTGATGTATCTGGTCACCAATCAGGAAAGCATGGTGAAGTGCTCATGTGCCTCCACCATGGCAGTGTGCTCAAGGAGTACAAAATCAGGACACTTGTGGTTCTTGCTGGACAGGGACTATGGAGGTTGTGTGCCATCTCCTCAGATGTGCTACCTCATTCCTACAAAGTTGCACTCTCGAGGCTTTCCTGCCTTCCTCCCTCTAGCTTTTCCCCACTAGGTAAACCTATTTCATTTTTATTTATATATAGTTTATTTCCTTTTTATTGCCTGTCACCATCCAGATTAGCCTGAGCTTCAAAAGGATTATCCTCCCTGTATTCCCAGAGCTGGTAAGACGGCTAATTTATGTGAAGAGTACAGGGACAAAGCAGTTCTGCTGGGTGCTCAGATCCAAGAAGATTCTCATCAGTTGGCAGTGGAGCTGCCATAGCAGAGATCCAGGTGATTGAGCAGTACTGGCTGGGATGTGGGTGGGCCAGTGGAGCTGAGCTGAAAGCCTTGGCCCCTATACCATCCTCCAGCAGACAATACTATCTCCAGAGAAGGACATAGCACACACATTGTACTACTGTGCAGGGTTAGGACAGAGGACTCAGTGGAAACCCACACACAGCTCAAGAAAGAAGTCTCGAGGCGCCACATTAAGCTCATGGAAAAGAAATGATGAATCAAGAAGTACTTCTCATGGTTGGGATAAAACTAAAAAAGTTCCAAGTCCACGCTAGATTTGTTCTGGAATGAGAGAATGGATGTGTCACCAGCTGCTGGTATGGGAGTTTTTACAGAGAGACAACTTACATCCAGTGGAGGACGAAAAAGTTAATGGTGATGACTGCTCTGTCTTTGGGGACCAGGACTAACTAGCTGGACTCTAGGCTCTGCTTTCGAAGGATAAGACACCTTGAGCAGAAGCCACACCCCTTTCCAACGCACCAGAGATGAGATATTCAGCCACCTCAGGGAGCCCATGTATCTTTTCTCACTTGTTTATGGTCTTTTTCCAGGATTTTCACACTTCTAACTCCACTCACCTCTCCCAGTCTAGTTCCAGTGTCCTTTTCCACACTGGTACAGGGATGAGCACTCCTGTCCCCTGCCTCAACTCTGCACCCTGTAGAAATGCCAGATCAAATCCGGCCTGCTACCCCTAGCTTGCTCACCCACAAGCACAAATCTCAAACTCTAACATGGACTCTCCAGAATGAGAATTTATAGCAAGAACAGCATGGCCAGAGTTAGTTTAGTGACCTGAATTTGGAAAATACCCAAAAGAGAAATACAACCATGCCAAGAACTGCTATGGTCCACTCATACTTTACTCATCATGGCAGGGCACTGGCAGGCTCTTCCACCTACACAAATCCCACTTACGCTGTGGCCCATAAATCTTCCCAGCATGCCTCCCTGTTTGAACCTCAGTCTGCTCTCAAGAAATGCTCAGATTAAGATGACAAATAAACCTTATTTTTCAAAATAATGTCTTAATTTGAAAGGAAATGGCAGATTTCAGATTGCTTCTGAGAAGTACTGCAGGCTCTTCCTTCCTTGACCCTTCAAGGCTATAAAATAAACACAATTTCAAAAGAGGAGTCTTCTGCAAATACTACTGACCTTGAAACTCAAGCCTTGAGTCATGAGTTTATAAGATGACTCAAAGAAACAACAGCTGTCATTTAAATGACACTGAGGACTGCAGTTCTCTTCAGAAAGACTCTAAGGGAGAGATTGCTGGTCCCGAGGTAAAATTCCTTACTGTTTTCACCAGGCTCTTTTCACCCATATCTCAATACAAGCTGTCAGTGTAAAAGAGAAACACATCCTGGGCTGGCAAGCCCAGGCAAAACACGAAATAGATGCTAGTCTGAACGGGAGCAAAGGGACCAGGCTGTGGGGGGGAATGTAGGCAAAGCCGGGACATGACTGTGGGGGAATGCTGTCAGCTCTTCTCTCTACCTTAGAAAACGTAGACTGATATTAATCAAATCCCGGCTGAAGAACCACTGGGTACCCTGTGTGAGCTCAGGACACAGCACTGTCACTCAGAACTGCGTGCTTGCCAGGTGAGTATGCAAAAAGTCTGCTCTGCATGGCTTGCCTTTCAAATAAGTGAATTTCAGATTCATGTCCTACAGACATCATGGAATTAAGCTTTGCTTTTGAACCAGTCTGAAAAATCATTTTTTAAAAACAATTGTTCTGAGGATTAAATATTTTTAAATGCTTAATATAATACATGTACACAGTATGTTCTGTTAGATACCACATAGGACATTAACCTGATTAAAATAAACAGAAAAATATCACTCAACACAAGCAGAGACCAGATGGAACACATGGGAAAAGACAGTTGCACTACAGCTCATGCAGGAAGTCCCCCACCCCATCCCAGACACCACTGCCTCATGTCACAGGTGATCCAGCCACAAAAGCTAATCCTGACATAGTAGCTCAGACACAAAGCCATGTTACCCCTCAAGAAGGAAGATGCACTGCAAGGTTTCAGAACATACCATCAGAGCTCTGCCCTGGGCTGTGCCTAAATTTCTCAATACTTAGCAGTGGCTTAAATCTGGGTAGCTTCTACCAAGAAGTGCCGCTTGTCACCAACTAATCTGAAGGTCACACATTTACAGGAAGTATAACCCAGAGGAACACTTACTGGACAGGGACAAAATCAACTCACAGACACTAAAGAAAAAAGCAAGACACATTTTTAAAAGGCTTTAGATTCAGTTTTTAAAAAGCAGTTGATTTGAATTCGTCTTAATTTGTAGAACACAGACTATTTCCAAACTTCAGACATCAATTTTTGGTCCTTTTAGGTGGTGGGTAGAAGACCGGGCCATCTTCACAGACCATCATTGACTGCTTAGCAGCGACCTTGGACAACCACGCTTCCTGCTTTGGTGACAGCAGTTCCCCAGGCTCCTCCGTGCAGTTTCGCAAATGGAGGTCCTCCTTAGTGAAGCACAACTCTATCTGACTAATTACTTGTACTTTCTCACCCTGAAAATAAAAAAGTAACAGAGGCTTAAAAATTCAGACCTTGGAATATCAACAGTTTTGGGATCATGATACTCTATAAGGCTGACTTGAAGATGACAAAAACAGTGGCTCCAGACCTAAGACTCCAGGCTTTAGAAGCAAACTCCTTCTATCAACAGAAGAAAGCTGGCCAGCACAAAGGCAATAAGCGGCTGAGGTGCTGAATTGTGGACAGTGGGGCTCAGCCTGAGGTTTGGGTTCCCCAGTCACCCCGGAAGTGTACCTCCCCCAGCCCTGTGTGAAGGGACATGTGGTTAGCTTGGAAAAAAATTTTAAAAGTCTACAAAGATTCATACAGACCCCAAATGCACACACATTAAGACACTAGGAAAATAAATAGCATTTAAAGGTACACAGCACCCTACTCCTAAAATAAGTCTTAATCAGCTAAAAAATGAAACTGTAATTTTGTCAATAAATTGGACAGATAACTGTAATTAAAATGATTAAGACTACTAACATAAAGCTCAGCCATTTTCTAACTTTATCTATTCCCACCTCCCTATACTACCATCCCTTCTAGGCTAGGTATATTCTTGTTAGGCTAGGTAAGTGTCAAAAAACCACACTGGTTATTAAAAAGCATGCACTGGTGCTCACATACAACACATAGGTACACACAGACATACACATGTGTGTACAAGCAGACATGCATACAGAGACAAGGACACAGACATGCATGCCTAAATACAATTCCATTTGAAACCTCCACAGTGAAGACAGAGAGAAGACCAGATATGCTATGTCTGACCTGTGTGAATGGGAGGCACTGGATCTTAGGTACAACTCCGTAGAAGCTGGTAAGGGCATCTTTAAACTCTGAAATCTGACATTAAGTGAAAGTGTATTAGAAATGAAACTTCAACTGGAAAAACCTAACGGTTCTGCTCCATGAAGAATGTAATGTTCTGGTGACTTGTCCTCTTTGGGGCTCCCCAGCTTGGAGAAGCTTGAGAATGTCCTCCCCCAGTGCTGAGGGGGAGGACATCAGCACTACTTACCAGACTACCAGGATTCCCACCACTTCCTTTCCTTCTCTGCACCCATCTTTCTCTCCCCCAAGCAGCCCAACTCTCTACCCCATCCTCTTGCACCAGCCCACTCTCTCCTGGCCAAGGCTGTCTTACCTGAAATGCCCAAACTATAGATACCTTTGCTAACCAACTTTTATTTTATTTTCTGTGGCCCTCAAAATTTTCTCAGCCCTGCCACTCTTTGAGCCCCTATCTCCCTTGTATCTCCCCACAATAATCACCTCTTACGGTATAGAAGATAGGCCCACAGAGCACCCACCTTCCACTCTCAACTGCAAGCTTAAGAAAGACCTACAGGTGCTCTTACCTGCTCCATCTCAGAACAAGGGACCCCAGACCTGCTCTATTCTGACAGCTGCCTCCAATTTCAGTCTTGTCCTATGAGTTCTCCTTTCTCTTGAAGTCAACCCTCCCTCCACCCTGTGAGGGACATCTTGGTCTTCTGCAGTGGGTACCTGCCTCTGCTCCTCGACCCACACTGACATAGGGCTGCCTTCTACAGAGGTCTCCTCTCCACCCACCCTACTCTATTCCTACTGCCTCATACAGGAAGCCTTCTATCCCTCTCCTCCAAACTTGACCTCTTGAACCTTCTATCCCTCTCCTCCAAACTTGACCTCTTGAACCTTGTAGAAATCTCAAATTCTAATTATCCAGTGGCCTGCCCCATGACTCCCTAAAGAGCTGTCCTTTCTTCCACTCCCATTCCAGCACCAGACAATTGGAGACATAGGTCTGTTTTGGAACCTCAGCACTGGCACTGTTGTGGGATGATGTCCTAAGGTCAAAATGTGATTGGCTGACCTTATCTCCCATAGCATCCCACTCTGTTCCTGGTCCTCAAAGATGTATTCTTCCTGCCTTCCAGCACTGCCTTGCCTCTCCTTTCTTAAGGTACTCTTCCCCAGGGTCCCAGCCTCTAAGAGGCTACCCACGCAGCTCCCAGAGAGTCTCTGCAACACAACTCTTCTTCCCATAAAGCAGTTAAGTGGAAAGTACTTGGATGCCAGATGCCAAGCAGGAAACCTGAGGAAAGTACGACTCATTGTGACCAGTTGGGACCTCTGCCTGAGCCCATGCATGCATTCTGATACTTCGCAGAGAGTCAACAATGGCCGTCATCGTTGGCCCTCAATATCTCTGAATATCAATTTCTGGGCAAAAATATAAGGCCCATCTTGCTCACTCTCATTACACAGTTCAGGCTAGGACCAGAGTCTTTGCAAATGTTTGTCCCACCCTGCATAAAAAGGTCTTCAAGGCACAAATAGTGGTTTGTCTTTCAATCACTGGTCCCTCATACCTACTCTCCATGAAGAGAGAAACAGACAGTTACTGGGAAAGTGATTACAGTCTAGCAGACACTACTGAAGGCAAGTCAAGGCCGTTTACTGTACAAACTGCCAAGGCCACAAGAACTCTTCAACATCCAGAACCACAGAATTGCTAAAATCAGTTACTTTCAACCTTTCTTTAAATCCTTACTTCCAAAAAAACTACCTCAAAGAATATGATCTATTTCTCTAAAGCTAGAGTCTGCACCTTTTCCATAAAGGCACGGATGGCATCCTGGGCTTTGGGGTGATATGTCTATCTTTGGTTTGCAGGTGATCTTCCTATCTTTGATCTAACTGAGACAGAACTGGAACCACTCTGATGTGCCATGGAGTACATACTAGCAACCAGAGAAACATGCATGGCGAGCATCGCTACAGTCTGAGGTCCACAAGAATTTTATTAGTGAATCAGACACCCAGAAACGAAAACTATTTTCTATATCCTTCCCAGATGGTAAGATCTGCTCATGCTTAAATCTGTATCATCTAGTTTATCATAGAAAAAATCCTAAATGACTTTCCTCTAATATAACACATTATTAAGCTGAAAGCAGGTTTTAAACTCATATTCCACCCACCCCTCGGAATCTACAGCATATATATTACCTAGCAAGGGCCATGGGTCTATGCTTTCAAGCCACTCGTCCAAGTAGCCTTCAATTCACAATCAGTATACAATTAGAAATAAAAAATTCATACAAAATATAAAGCACACAAGTTAGGAGGGAGTTTTGTCAGTATCATGTTCTCTCTCTAGATATTCCCTGCAAAGCCTCATACACTCCCAAGTGGAGCTTTTGGAAGTGACTAGAACATAGGTGTGATAGTGGATTAGTCCACTGATCAGCTTAGCATGAGTCTAGGTGTGGGTGGCACTAACCAATAGGCTTGTAGCCTGGATGGAATAAACAGGGAAAAATGAAAGCTCACTGCTTCCTGCCTGCCGTGTGATAAACTCTTCCCCCTCTCCCATGCCCCTTCGCCACTCTACCCTGCTATGGAGCCAGCACTACAGACTGAAACCTTTACAAACTATGAGCCAAAATAATTTTTTTTTCTTTTAACTTGTGGGTTTCAGGTTAGTTGTCTCAGCAAAAAGAAAGTAACTAAGACATTAGGTCACAATAAAACTTGACAGTGGCTCACAGGATGCAATGATATATAGGTGTCTTTAGTGGAGCACATTAGATAGGAAACAAAAGGCAAAACTTACATTATAGTAATTGATAGACGGTTCAATTTTAAATTTTTGGAGCGCTCTGAAATTAAAAAAAATAGTTGCATAATAAAGATTCATTTTACTTTCTTATTCTTCTGAAACATCCTATTTCATAGTAAAAATCTGAGAATTTTTTTACTTGCTTGATAGTATATTTTTCTTATTTTAAAGAGGATAAAACAGAATAAAATCAATCAAAACAAACCAGTCTAAGAGATACAGGACTTTAAAACATTATGAAATCAAATAGTTTCCATAATACCTTTTGGTGTCTTCAAAAGAGCTGCAGATAACTGCAGACATAGTAAAACTCAAACAGAATAGAGTAGAAACAATAAAAACAAAACAATGAATGCAATAAAGGAAATCAAACAAGCCAATAGTAAATCCAAAATTGCTATCATAATATATCTTGCTATCCTTAAAATAGCTTCTCTTGCCATTGGATTTTAAAAAATCAAATAAAAGAGAATAAAACCCAACCCAACAAAACAATAGAAATGATACGACCTCAAAACAAGACCAGAGGGAATCAACAATGGCTGTAAGGCTCAGAAACAGATTCCCCCAAGATGCCACACTGTGTATAACTATCCTTTGAACCTATGACCATACTGCTGGCCCTAGACCTGCAATGTTAGGGAAACACCAAAGCATCACAGGCATCTAATCGTACTTCATCTCAATAGCTATCATTACAGACTGTTTCTCTAGATAAGCTGGTCACTTATGGGGGAGGGTTGGTACTTCTTGTTTGTGAGCCCGTGTGCTGGAAGGGGTTGAGATCTGGCCGTTCCCAGTCTGGCAGTGGCCCATGCATGGTACAGGTTCCCAGACTGAGCTTGTTTGCTGGTGCAGCCATTGTTCTCTCTCCCCTCAGTCCACAATGGCCTAGGACATTCTTAAGACTCTCTTTCAGAGTGCTTTTTCTCTATGACTAACCAATCTGTTAACCACAGAAGCAGACAAGCAGCTCCTACTCCAACTTTCCTGCCTCACACACATGCTATCCAGGTGGACCCTTTCCAAAGTCTGAGCTCCTCAGAGCACTCCTGACATCGCCTCATCATGGTGGGCTCGCACAGCACCATCTACTGGTAGCATCTGTTCGACAGCAGTTTGGTTTCTCAGCTTATCCTAGGAAATTGCATCCTTACATTTTTACATATGCTAAATGTTGATAATCTTGAAAAATGTTCTAAAGCATTGTTATAGATAATTCTATCGAAGCACTCAACAAAAAACATTAAATTATGTGGTATGACGTAAAAATTCTTAGATAGCATTCAGGAATTCTCTGTGGTCCCATCAACTCTTTCTGATCATTCTGGATTATGACCACAGAGTACATGAAAGATACAGCTGCCTCCCTCAGTCCTGAGCTGTCAGTAGCCTGCTGCAGCTCTTGGGACAAACAGGACAGCAGTGGTTGGCTCCTTGCACCTCCAGAAGTGCCCCACACCCATGTGTCTACACTGCCCACACTTGGGCTGGTCATGCCACAACATCAATCTCCAAAAGCTCTGTGCCAAGGAGGGTAAAACATTTCAATCTTTAAAAAATTAATTAGGGCCAGGATTTAGCTCAGTGGCACAAGTGCTTGCCTGGCAAGTGCAAGGTCTTGAGTTCGATGCCCAATACAAAAAAAAGTAAACAAAACTAAAAATAAAATATGTATTAAAAATTGCAATATCTTAGGTAAGCTGGGCTAGATATATTACTAAAGTTAATTTTACCTGTTTCTCTATTTTTAAGATGTTTCTGAGCCCAGACCTCTGTGGCTCACATTCTATTTCTACTGGGTAGTACCCTCCTGATACCGGTGGCAAAGACAGAAAGATGCAGAGAAACCTCACGGCCAGCCTAGAACATAGCTTATTATCATGTCTTCTGAGTTACAATCAGTTCAGCTTAACTGAGGTCTTTATCTAAGGGTACTTGGAGAACTTCCCTACAAGATACTCGGCAGGTAGTTTCTCAGGATTGCTTCTTTCATATGACAAAAAGATAATTTGTTATAATGGTTTAGAAAGAAAAAAATAAAAGAATTTTATCTTAAGTTTTGACTCCTTAATTTTAACTTTATGTGTGCTAAGAATTTCAAATTTTCCTTGGAGAAAGTGGCAAAGAGTAATTTTTCTAGAACTGCTATATTCCAAGTGACAGCTAGCAGGTACTGCACTCCCAGCTCTGCTGTTTGTTTAGTAGGCTTCAGCAAACACTTGAAGTTGCCAGGACTATGCAAAAAGTGGTGAGTTTCACACTTTGCAAAAAGGGCCTACCGCACTTAATTACTTAAGACGGCTTAAGTACTTAAAAGGTTTTAGACAGCACCATTGTGTTCACTCTTAAAAAGTGGTCTACCCTCACACTGTGGGGTACTCTTCTTTCCTTCTTCCACTTGGCCCAAATTTGCTTTGCAGAGCCTTTTTCTTTTCCTATCATTAATAAACATAGCCTTGGTACCATTTAAAAATTTTTTTCTTAGCCAGATCTATTTGTTCTCCTCTTCCTGCTTGTTAAATGAGACTTACTGCACAATTAACTTGAAGCACAGCAGGACATGGCAGACAGAAACAGGATGCATTAATGTAGAAACAGAGGCAGTGCTCTATCTCTGGAGGGCTAAGTGGGCCTTACTCTGTCAACTTTTCAGAAATAAGCTTCCTTCGGGTTATGCAGTGCTCCCGCGTTCCAGAAGTGTACTCTTTAAGCTAATTCTCACAGTGGTTGCTAGAGTGCTCATTATTGACATTTTGTGAGTGAGGAAGTGAAAGGTCTTGTGCTTCCTGCCAAGAGAACACTACTTCCTCTTGTAGAAAAATCTACAAATGAAAGAACACATATAATACCTACACACACACAGTAACTGCCTGCCACACATTACTGGTACAGTAATTCCTAGTACATATCCTTAATAATGTAAATTTTAAGAGTTAAAAGAATTTAGGAATGAGTGCAACTCATTTATTCTTTTTACATCATGAAAAAATATCTAAAGAGATTATCTAAGATGAGCAACTAGTTAGTGTCAGCCATAGAGTCAAACGGCACATTAACCCCCTTCTGTACCCCTGACACAGCGTCACATCCCTGTAACCCCAGTTACTCAAGGAGGAAGGCTGGAATTTCCAGGCCAGACTGGGCAAATCAGTAAGACCCTGTCTCAAAAATAAAAGAGCTGAGGATGCAGCTTAATGATAAAAGAGCTCCTGGGTTTAATCTCCAGTAATGTTAAAACAAAAGCAAAAAATACACCGTGGTCAGGAAGTTGGGAGATTTACTCTTAAACTCGTTGGCCGGATATTCTTTGATGTAGCTCCATTTCCCCAAAGGCATCCAGCCTCTCCTGTTTCAATGCCTGATCTGGCAATTCAAATCCCAGCTGTCTGATCAAAATGAGACAGGAAATTATCTGTGTGAGATGGTGACACATCACTTGTGGACGCTTTTGTGTATGAGGAGGTAGAACACGTGACTAGAGGACCATAAAGGTTTATTCATCTTGAATGATTTGATTCATACACCTTAAATATGGCTGATGAGCAAAGGCTCCTGGAATGACTCTCATCTGAAAAAAAACCATTCTGACTAAAGAAATTGCATAGATTACAGCCAGCACTGCAGACACTGTATAACTGGTCATTTTTTTCTTTTTAAAATAATCAATGGACATTTATTTTTCAAAAGTGTAAGATCAACACTGGCAGATCTGGCATCTGTTCATAGCTTATTTCTCAGACAGCAAGTGTCTCTCTGTGTCCCCCAGGGAAGAGGATAGACAGCTCTCAGGGTTTTAAAAAGGGGATTCACACTCCTTATCCCTTGGTGGGTGAAGATCCAACACCAAACTCTAGGGGACACACACATTCATTTAGCCCACTATAGCCAGCTTCCAGCACTGACATTCTCCTTACTCTGTTTAGTAATATTTCTAAAACTAGCTTACTGGCTTATTATGGTCACTTACAACAAAGGCCAGTAAGAAGAATTAACACATTTTAGCAGAAGTATCCAGATGGGAAGGGAAATGATAGCCCTAAACTCCCTTGCGATCAGACTCAGGTGAGGTGGGTGCCAGGCATGGGCCCTTGAGGGGCTCACTGTCTTTACAAATCCATTGGCTCTTCTTGTATGGTGGCGACACACTCTATCTCTGGAGCTAAGGTGAGTGTAGGCAGTGCCAAGTCCACAAGTGTAGGGTCACTTCTAGGGCTGAAAGGACCCTTGCCTACCATTTTCCGCCTGTCCCAGGGTACCCACACCCACAGCAGGAGGCAGAGATCCCTGGGAGACTGTCATGTTGGCACAGTGCCTGTCAGGGACAGTGACTGACATGGCCACCCTGTTGGTCCTCATTCTCCATATGGCCAGCTTACTGAGAGGCTGGAGCATTTCTTAAGCATGAACCCTTATCCCCTTTAAAGGTGCCGGCATGTGTGGCAGGGCTGCCAAAGATCAGCAATCTCTGCTCATGCATGGTTACTGGAGGTCCAGGCCTGAGAGTCTCCAGGTTGAATGTACTTACCTGGTGAGGTCCACCTGCTTGTACAGCCCCAGGCTCTTCCCAAAGTACTTCCTCTCAGAGTTGAGGGCAGCCAACTGGGCAGCACAAGTGCCATGCTTTTCCCACTCATGCTTCCTGCAGGTTCACAGTGACAATATTCAGATGTGTTTTCCTCACACTCAGCAGTCACACAGTGGGTACACCACTGCATTACCAAACAGGACGGATACAACCCCTCATTTGCAATGCAGGCAACACAGCGTTCTGAACTCAGAACTGTTTCAAAAGACCACTCCTATCTTCTCTTGTTTTCCACTATTCATTAGCTCCAGTTCATCTCTGCAATTACAGTTTGTTCAATTAACAGCAAATCAAAGGAAAAAAATGCCATTGTTCAGACACCCAACAAACCACATTATAATATGGATTTCTTGCATTGCTGGTGCTCAACAGCACGAGATTTCAGAGAGCAGTACAAACCTCACTTCTCTATGAGGCAAGATGGCTAGTCACCCAGAAAGGTACTGGCCTATTCCACAGAGGAGCCTCTACTAAGATAGACAGACAGACAGACAGACAGATGCACAGATACATAGATAGAGATTATTTTTTTTTTTTAGTTTTCCCCCTTCAGACAGGGTTTCCATCTGTAATTCAGGCCAGCCCTGAATTATGCAGCCCAGATTGGCCTCAAAGTTGCAGCAATCATCCTGCTTCAGACACCCAAGTGCTGGGATTACTGGCATATGCCACCATATCCAGTTTGAACACTTGAAGGGGATGAAATCCCGACCCCTTCCTATTTTGCTTCTCAGAGGTAAACATCTTCCTGTCACATGTTCCCACCACAAAATACAAAGCCATCCAAAGGCCCAAAGAAAGGGGATCCACCTTTGAAACAGTGAACCAAAATAAACTCTTTCTTCTTTCTAAATCGGTTTTCTCAGGTATTTGTTAAAGTAAAGCTGACACAGATATCAAAGTTTCATCATCTGAAGTACCCTACAAAGGTACATATAAGCGCTTTTCTGTTTCCCTCCATTTCAACTCATTATGGCCATCTCTACTTTGAAGCCATTTTCCAGAACACAAAGTGTGCAGAACAAGTGGGAGACCTGCGCTGTTCAAATCAAAATTTTCACTAAGAGTGATTCTCTTTTTTGAAGGGTGATTTCAACCTACAGATTGCAGTCAGTGAATTCTCAAACCAAACCCCTTGGGCGAAATGTCAAACTGAGTGATGAACCAGGCTTTTGTAAAGCCTCTCACTAAACTCAAGCTTTCTTTTTTAACTAAAATCTCTACACAAAAATGTCTACATTAGTGCTTCTGGAAAAACTTGTTTAGTTATAATCTGAATCTTAAACTGTCATACTAGAGAAAGACATTAAAAACAGAATAACCTTCAGTTGATATAACATTAATGTCAATTTTACCTTCTTTTTTTTTTTTTAATCAGTACCGGGGATCGAACTCACAACCACCTGCTTGCAAGGCAGGTCCTTATGCCACTGAGCTAAATCCCCAACCCCAATTTTACCTTCTTAAAAAGCAATAGTTTTATAAACTATCCTGAATTAACCACATAGCCTTTATGTCCTAGGCCTTGGAACTTCTTGTGTTTTACTTTATTGGAGTGAGGACTCTGCCTCAAGTAGAGTCCTATCTTTCTTCCTCTTTAGTAAGGAGGTATGTGCTCTTTCCTTTTCCCTCCTCCCTCTCCCTTCTCTGGTGATAGTGAGGACTGAACTCAGAGCCTTTACACTGAGCTATATCCCAAGCCATTTTCTTATTTTTTCCTTTATGAGACAGAGTTGGTCTCACCAAGTTGCTAAATTGACAAGGATAGGCTCAACCTGCAATCCTGTCTCAGCCTCCTAGAGTACTGGGGATTACAGCGCTGTGCCACCACACCCAGGTTCTTTCTTTTAACATTATCAAGGCAGCAGCACAATTCTTTAAGACATATTTTTCCCGTCTGATTTTTTAATTTCTAGATATAGAAATGTTTGGTCTAATTAAATTTCAATAAAGAAATTCTAAATAATAAAGTCATGACTGAAATAGCTGTAACTAAGATGAAGAAACTATTTCCTTATCACTGAGACACAATAAATGACCCCTGAGAATATTAAATGAGGAAAGATTTATTTTGGCTCATTTTTTAGCCCTTAGTTGGTGGCTCTAGGCAGGAGAGCACAGCACAGAGACACGGTGTTAGGAATAGCTGCTCACAGAATGGCAGACAAGAAGCAGAGTGAAGGGAGGAGCCTTGGAGGGAAAGTAAACCTTTCTGGGCCACGCCCCCTATGACCACCTCTTCTGGGCCACACCCCAGAGGGCTTGCCTCTTCTGACCAGAACCTACCTCCAAATAGCAAGCCAGCTGTGAACTACCATAATCCAATAACCTTCCAAAAGCTCCATCCTTGAGCACATGCAGCTTTGGGGAGACCTCTAGATACAAACCATAACAATAGCACGTGGTCTAGAAAAGAAGCTTATGAGGTAAACTTGACTTGTCACTTTACCCACTGGACAAAGGCTCTAAAAACGGTATAACAGAATCATTTCTACATAAAAGACCACACTTAACAAGCCCTACAAAAAGATAGGCCCTACTGTCTGTTTTCTGTGCCTCTTACGAATTTGCATTTTGAATGCATTTATGCTGCTCCCACACTTATGGTTTTAAAGAGCACAATGACTGTGAGAAACCTGGACTTACCAGAACCTGCTGCCATTCAGTGGGTGCTTTATATCAGGCCAGTACTGATTCATGTCCTGGAAAAGATCCTACACACAATTTAAGAAAAAAAAAAAAAAAAATCTATGTAAGACCTAACAAACTCAAAATTTAGGAGTAAATTTGACAATATTTAAAAAATTGAGCCCTGCTTATTAATAATATTTAAGTAAATGAAATGACTGTATTCTATATGAGGTTTATCTTAAGACACACATAAAAGTGAAATTTGAGTAACCACACCAGTATGCAGAAAACACAAGCTCTCATGGATGATCAGCTATGGTACATGTTATTCAGCACTAAAGAAGTGAGCTATGAAAGCCATGAAGAAAACTTAAAACATATTGGTAAGTGAAAGAAGATACCTGAAAAGGCTAAATAGTGTTTTGTTCCAACTATATGATATTCCAGAAAAGATAAAATCTTAAGAGATAAAATGCAATCAGCAGTTGACAGGGGTTCAGATTTTCTAAGAAAGGAGGCTGGGGCAGGTGAGACTGCTCCATAACACACTGCTTGTCTTCTGGCTTTACCAAAACCTGTAAAACCATACAATACAAACAGCAAACCCTAATGCAAACTATGAAATGTAATTAATAGGATATCAGATGTCAGGCAATATTTAGGAGGTTGAGTCCAGGAGGATCACCTTAAGCTCAAGGCCAGCCAGGGTTACACAGTGAGTTCAAGGTCAGCCTAAATTACACAGTGAGACTGTATTTCAAATAACAATAATACTGTTATGTTTGTATCTGGATTCCCCCCCCCCAAAGCCTCATTTGGTCAAGGAGGTAGGCTTTTCAGAGGCTAATCTAGTGCTAATGAATCATAGTGTAACGCTGGGATAAAGGCCGGATGATTGTTGGATCAGTACACTGATTAGTTTGGCTCTGTTGTATTCCTAGCTGGCTAGATAAAAAGAGAAAGAGGCTTGTTTCCTTTTTGCTCTTGTTGCTTTTGCTGTCTTCCATCACTATGAACTGTTGCCCCTGTGCCATGCCGCCCTGTCTTGGAGCCAGCTGATATGGACTGAAACCTCTACAAACTGTGAGCCAAGTAAATCTTTCCACCTTTAACTTTGGGTTTCAGGTATTTTGTCTCAGCCATAGAGCAAAGTAAGTAAAAAAAAAAAAAAAAAAGAAGAAGAAGAAGAAAAGAGGAGGAGGGTTCAGTATTGGTTTCCCAGTTGTGACTAACATAGCACTGATGGTGGAGGATGCTAACGGGAAACTGCAATAATTGTTAATATGGGAAACAGACAGTAGGGCCTATTTTCTGAGGCTGGTAAAGTGTGCATGGTCTTTTGTGTAGAAATGATTCTCATATTGAAGGATGTTAATAGTGGACATAGCAATGTGTGTTTTGCATCCAATTTTTTCTGTAAACCTAAAACTGCTCTAAAAATGTCTGCCAAAACAAATAGAAGCTCTTACTTTCAGAGAATAGCTTGTTCTAAGCTGAGCCTTCCTTTGCTATGCAGACAGTTACCCTAAACCCAACTTGAGTTCATTTTTCACTCTATATACCTACTGGCATTAGAGCAAAATCAAAAAAATTTCCGTAGAAACATATGCAAATTTAGGACAGTTTCACTTTCCCATGCCTTCCATGAATCCCATTAAGCTGACCTTCCTCATGACCCTCTGCTATCTACCTTCCTTCCCTCCTCATTTCCTCAGACGCTCTCCAGGTCTAACTTTCTGTCTTCCTCACTGCTACCCCTCACTCTGGGCCTCATCAGCTCTTTGTGGATGACAATGCGATGATGCAATTTATTTTCCAAAAGAGGCTACTTTGTGTGGGACTACGTTAAACTGCATGCTACACAGGTAAACCAGGACTGTTCTGAAGGAGCAATAGCATAACTACCAAAGACCTGGAAGTACCCTTGATCCAAGTTATTCTGACCTCCCTTTATGGATCCTCCTTTTGATCCTTCTTCATCAACCACACCCCTTGCTCCCCAGCACCTCCTCATCCTGATTCCATTTTCACAGGTCCCTTTTCTATCCTGTTTTAAATGCTAGAGTTTGTCCAGGTTGTTTCTGTTCCTCTGTATCTACATGGACAGTCCTGCCCCACCCTGACAGATGACTGAATATACAGACTACCATACCCTCTAAGGAAGAATGAGCATGGTGCAGTAATATATTCCGCATTTAGAAGTATGTCAAAAGAGTATTCTAACTGCATTCATATGGTTCATTCTTTAAAAGGAGTTTTTGTATTGGAAAGGACCATCATTTTCTCCCAATTCAGAGTCCCTATGGAAAACTTACCCCACCTATGGCTGGAAAAGTCAGCCCTCGATACTGTGCCCATTCTCCAGCACAGCTGCCCAGAGATGCTTCTCTAAAGACCTAGCTTATGTCACTGACCCAGGACCCCTGGGGACTGGAGACTAATTGGAGCTGGCAGGCATATATTAAGGTCTTTGTTCCTCTCTATGCTCTCTGCCCACAGCTCACCTATGCTGTGGATTGGGTCCAAGAGAGAAAGGTCAGATTTTATTTAATTCATGGGACTGCTTTAGATATTAATAATTACTAAAACATTGCCTGGGGCTCAATCCTAATTTGACTTTGAAAGTATACTTTTAAAGAAAATTAATGTAGGTTCAATGTTCTACTGTAGTAGAAAGATGGTCAATACCTTAATTTCATCTAAATGAAAGTGCCATGATGAATTACAGTCTTCCACTTTGTCAGGCCTTGAAATCCAAATTAAAAAACAAAAGAGAGAAATATTAGTCTTGGTTACACTGGCTTCTCTATGACATTAGATTATACTTTCATTAAAGTCTAAAAAGAAAATTTCTACTTAAGAATATCTCCAGTAAGCCTTTTAACAAAGAATGCTTAGAAACAAGTACTTATGGCTTTAGTTTTTCTGGAAGAGGAAAGATGGTGTTTAACATGTTCCTGTTGGCTTAGGCCACCAGCAGGACCAGCATGACTGTCCAATTGGGCCATTTGTGCCACTGGCAGTAGCAATAGTGCAGTCACACCTGTTACAGGCATGCATGTACCACTAGTGGTGCAAGCCACCAGCAGCAAGACATACAGATTATGGCTCCATCATGAGCAGTTAAGAAGTGCACAGATTGGCTTTTTAGGAGAGGAAAATCAATAGAGGGACTTTGGAGTTGGCCCACCATGGGCTGTTTCATGATGCTAAGCTATGTGACTTAGGCCATAGCCAATTCTAAAATGCAGCATGAAAAGAGCTTGTATCTCTTTAAAATGTGATACAGTCAATTAGATAATATACAACTAACATGTTCAGAAATGCCTGGCCCATTACAATATCAGTTAGTATGACTTTTACTTTTATTTTTCAGTACCAATTTGCATTCTCTGATTTTGAATTTTCAGTCCTCACATGTTTGATTTTGGACACATCAACTCTCATTCTCTAGATGCTGCTTAGTTCATGAGGTCTCTACACTGACTTCAAGATCCTTCAGAGCCCTGTGAAGGCCAGGATGCTGTGACTTTGCAACCACGAGGCTGCCCAGCAGTTGAAAGCAGCACAACTCCCCCCCAACCCCGACCCAGGAAGACAGAATCCCTGCAGACTGTCACTCCAGCCTTGCAAATGAAGCAGCCATCATGAGCAGAGATACTGTCAGGGCATCTGAAGTTGCCAGAGAAATCATGCAAAATCCAAGGTCTCAAAAAGTAGAACTATAAGCCAAGTCCATTTAAACTATTTCCGAACCCCTTACTCCATTCTTAAGAGACATGCAAGTGCCAATAAAAACCAGAATAAAATAGATCCCTTCTAGGAAACTAATGTGCAGAATTTAACATCACAAATACATATATGAATAAGAAACTAAATATAATATGGACAAAACCAGAAAAATAAGTATTTATGAAGTATATAATATAGACTTGTTCTCATTTTTCCTGCATCTCTCTCATATATATATATACACATATATATATATATATGTATATACCTATACATACATATATGTCATATGTTTATTTATATAACAAATTCAAAAGAAAGAGAAAAACAAAAAATTAAAATTTAGGGATCCTAAAATGGTCCCAGGATCTCTAAAACTATATTTAAACGGGATTGTTACTAGTCTAGCAAAAAGGAAGTAAACAACAGAATTAGGGGTGTATTAGCAAACTATTTTAAAATAAGAATCTGATCTACGGAATAAACTCCTAACAAAAATAACAAGTATAATTAGTAAGTCTAATGAGAACTGATCTTATGACATGTGATGAAATGAACAAATACTTTGAAGAAAAAAAGACACTAAAGTATCCAGTGCTGATCCTGAAGTATCATAATGTGAAACTCAGCAATAGTATTATTCTTTGTTCAGAGTGATATTAGTCTGCTTGAGTTTGTTCAATCTCAACATAATGGAAGAGATGGATAAGTGCATGTATGTTTAAGTGTACAGGATTGATAACCATATTTCTTAAGTTTTGTTGGATAGTTGAACAGAACTGGTTGCAGTCTCACTGTTTGAATCCCCACTTTATATGCTCCACTTTAGTATCTTGAATAACTATTTGTAAGAGGACAATCTGTAATCATCAACTAGTTGATTTCTTACTGTTTATTTTTTTTCTTTCAAAGTATGTATTATTTCTATCCATTTTCTGTTTTGTTTAGTCTTTCTTTAAATAAAATTCTTTTAAAAAGACAAAAAAATAGTCTAGATTCAAGCTAGAATTTCAAGTTAGCCAGCTTCTCTCATTTCATCAGACTTTATTATATTAGATACTTGCCACAGTCCATGTATTGTCCAGTAATCCAGAGACTTTTCACAGTCATTAACTTCCTGGGGAGAAAAGATATAAAGAAGATAATTGGTTTATTGTTTAAGAACATTTAGCAACCAGGCTTCCTTTCTAGATACATCAAGGAGACACAGGGGCGTTACTAAATCAAGATGAGCCCAGTATTACTATAATGCAATACTTTTGTGCCAGTAACAGGCTCAGGAAGAAAAGACACTGGGGCTCCGTGTCCTAGGTCAGACCTCAAATAATTTAGATGTCAGTTAAACATCTATTTTTGCTCTTTACATGTACTCACAAATTAAGACAACCTAATGGAAATACATTTGCCCCTGAATAATCTGCTCACCATGTAATCAGAAAAGAATGTTCTGAATAAAAGCTTAATACCCTGTTATTCTCAAGTGGGTCAGGTACCAGGTTCAAGTATATTAGTGAAGTAATGAGTATCAAAAACTTGGAAAGCAAAAAATACAATGAGTTGAAACTAGGAGTATACTTTTGGCCTCAATAATAAAGATAAAACTTAAGATAAAAATCTCGGTACAATAAAAAATGTTTTTACAGGCCTATCAATGGTTTACCTAAGATGAGATTTTTCTGTGATAAATAATAATAGAGGTGGTAGCCAGCACTTGAGAAGCTGAGGAAGGAGGATTACTTAGAGTTTGAGGCCAGACTGGCCTACATAGTGAGTTCAAAGCCAACTTAAACTACATGAGACCCTTTCTCAAAAACCAAACAGACAAGTAAATAAATAAGTAAATAAAAATAAAATAAAATAATTGCACTTATCCAACTTATCTTTGACAAAGGGGCCAAACATGTTCACTGGAAGAAAGATAGCTTCTTCAAAAAATGATTCTGGAAAAACTGGCTTTCTACATGCCAAAGACTAAAACCAGACCCACATCTACCACCAGGCACTAAACTAAAATCAAAATGAATCAAAGATCTAAATAGTAAAACAGAAACACTAAATCTGCTGGAAGAGAGAATATATACAATTCTTGAAGACACAGATGTAGACAAGACTCTATAAACAAAGCCATGATTGCACAAGAACTATGTCACTGTTACACACACACACACACACACACACACACAAATCAGCTACTGAGATCTCATCTTATTGAAAAGCTTTTGCAATGCAAAAAAAAAAAAAAAACCACCACTAACAGTATGAAGAGACAACATACGTGTGGGAAAATATTTATGCCACCTATTCTTCAGACAAAGGACTAATACCTAGAACATATAAAAAACAAAAAAATCAGAACTCCAAATTCAAACGGTCAATCTAAAAATGGGCATCTGAGATGGACAATTCTCAGAAGTATAAATGATAAATACATGAAAAAATGTTCAACATCACTGGTTATTTGAGAAATGCAAACTAAAACAAAGCTGAAATTCCATCTCATTCCAGAAAGAATGGCTATTGTCAAGAAAACAACCAATAACTAATGTCACTGGGGCTGTGGAGAAAAAGGAATCCTTCTTCACTGTTGGTGGAAGTGTAGGCTGGTGCAACCACTGTGGAAATCATGTGGAGATTCCTTAAAAACTAGGATAAGAGGTCCTATGAGAACCAGTTCTATCCCTTCTGGAATCTTCCCAGAAAAAAGCATCATACCACAGCAATATATGCATACAAAAACTGGCAGTTTGTAATGGCTAAATCTTGGAAACAACCCAAATGCCTATCAACCAAAAATGGATAAAAAAGATATATATAAAATAAAGTACTACACGACTTTATATAAAAAAGAAAAACTGAGATATTTAGAGCTAAATGGGTGGACTTTAAGACCATAATTGAAATAAATTGGACATACATGTAAATATCGCATTGTCTTTCTGGTGTGAGAAACTGAAAATATAAGTAAGAATATAAATGTACAATAGATATTATGAAATAAGAAGAAACTGTTCAAAAAGAGAAGGGAAATAGGGAGAGGGGAGGAGGCAAAAAGAAGGGAAAAATGAGAAAAGGAGGATAAAATGAAAACTAAGCTTTGTGAATGGGGAAGAGAAGAGAGGAGAGTTTGAAAGGAGGGGATGGGAATGAGAAAAAAAGAGAGGAATTAAGATATATGATGTACAAATATACAAATTCCCTATAATAAATATGATCATTATGTATACTCAAATTGTACTAATAAACTTAAATTTAAATATATATATATATACATATATATATATATATATATATATATATATAATTTTTTTTTGAGCCATCAACCCAAGTGAAACAGATGTCAAGTCCAGTTCCTCACAGTAACTAAGCAAATGCAAACAAAGAACAGAAGTTGGAGCCTCTGAGGGAAGAGGAGTAATCACGCTCCATCCTGTCCAGTCCTTTCCTCTGTATGTCATCTTTTGAGGGGAGGCACCTTCTTTTCAGACTGATTCAGAGATGAAGAAGTGCCCTGACTTGAGTGACTGAAGTATCCTGAGACAGTTGCCTGCCACAGAACAGCTGGGCAACAGCCTGCAGAATCCATGCACTTCAACCTCTGCCAACGTTTCAGTTTCCTCCCTAAGGAAACCTTACTTCCTGCGGTCCACAGCTCATGAAGAGCAAAGTCAGCACCAAACATGGGTCATAATGAGGTAATTCCAATAAGGGGCTGGTTTCTCCCATTCCCCAGCAATCACTCATCAGTTCCTATAGTGCTTCGGAGTAAGGACACAGTGGAGACCATGACAGACTGTTCAGGTACTGTACTGTCTGTCAACATCTCTAAAACAGATGCCCAGAGATTAGCAGCCAGGAGTATACCTGGCCTGGAATGCCAGCGGTTTCTTATCACAGCCATCTTGTTTGAAATAAATTGCCTAACAGTGATATTTTGCTAATCACTTTTAAAAATCTTGTTTTTAAAACCTCAAGGCAGGAAGGCATTTCCTTATATTTTATACGCAGTCAAAGGCCACAATCACATCTCGGAAAGGCCAGAACTGAGGGTAACCTCTTTTGAGCTGAACTTGAGCGCTACCTGCGCACAGGTTCCTTGTTCCTTGACTTCCTTGACCTTCACTGCATTCCCATCCCACTCACTCCTGCACCAAAGAAAAAGAAACAGCACCAGGAGAGAATATAATAATGGACACACAGTTACAAATGAGATCCCAGACCAAAAGTATAATTTGGTGAAGATAAAGAGTGCAATTTCACTTTTATCTGTCAACAGAAAAGTAAATCAGTGAGGAAGTCAGAATGTCCTCACTACTCAATGCTGAAGGTGAAACAAAAAGCCAGAGTGAGTGCTCCTAACCTGGCAGGAAGTGATCAAATTATATGGCACCTCTTGGCTACATTTTATCTTGCACAGATTAGAGGTCTCAAAATTTAAAACCCTCAAGCAAAATTTCATAAACACTATGGATAAAATTAGTGCTAGTTCAGTAATGTGATAAAATACTATGTAGATAACTTTGCAAAGGAAACCAGGACCAGCTTTGTAACTGCCTCTGAGAAGGTCCAGCTCCAGTAATGGGAGCAAGGTGTTGGGAGCCGCAGCCCCGAGCCCGGTCGCCTCACTTGGCGGACGTGAGGCCTGTAGTAAAGAGCAAAGCCTGAGGTAGATTACCCCTCCCATCGAGCACGTTAGTTTCCTGCTTACCGCGTAAGCAACCCGCTCAACAATATAGTCTGCCTGGCAACTGATGATGTTAGCCAATCAGCTTGCCTTGCTCACTTTAACATGATTGGACACTGTATCCGTATATATACTGGTGCCACCCCTGGGGGGGAAGAAGAAGCCCGGAAGTAGAAGCCCAGAAGGAGCCGCGGAGAGCGGACCGGTAGAGGCTTCGGAGCGAAGCCCGGAAGGAGCCGCGGGGAGCGGACCAGAGGAGGCTTCAGCTGGGAGCGATCCCAGGGCAGGCTGTACAGAGAAGAAAAATAAAAGAAAAGGTTGTCCACTGCCAGACTTTGTCGTGTGTCCTTCCTGCCGGCCGGGAGCGGACATCGACATTTGGTGGCCCGTACGGGGACTGATCACCCCCGAGACGTGGAAGTGGACAACGCTCCAGTACAGAGCTGCGAGACAGGTGAGTTGGGGATAAGCCTGGGCTCTGGGTGGCGCGCACCTACAGGGCTTTTAGACTCCCCTCAGGCTCACGCGTAAGTGGCGGATTCCTTGGGCCTCACGCGGTGAGTAACATATTAAAAGATGGGAAACATGCTAGGTAGCAACACTAAGAGCGAGGGTGGTTGTGGAGAAAGCTCTCAAGAGCTTACAAAAGTACGCAGGGTATTTGAGCAGGCCCAGTCAGGGAGCTCCCGAGAGGGGCCCGTCAAGGGGAACAAAGATGCTAAGGAGGAGGACGGGGCTCTAGCCTCGGAGTCGTCTGACTCCGAGGACGAGGGAAAGTTGAATGGCAAGGAGGCCAAAGAGACCAGCTGTCAGGAGCCCAAGTCGCTCGATAAGGAGTCACAGGGTTCTTTTCCAGCGTTGCGCCGCAAATTGCGCTCTGCTCAACCTGGTCTGCGGAGGAGTAGAGAGCTCCTGAGCGCTCCCCGGCGCGAGAGGGAGGCGATCCCTCGCCACGAGGCGGCCGCCTGGGAGCTCCCTCCCCTTTCGCCAGAACAGGAAGTGATGCACGGGCCCCCATTTTCCGCCCAATCACGGCCGCCGTCTTATGCTCCGCCGCCGGCGGGTCGGTATTTTTACAGGCGGCTTTGGCAGGGGGGACGCTTGTCTCATGAGGTACATCCACCTGGGATAGATAGTGGCCCCTACGGGATATTTCCTGTACAAGTAGCTATGGGCCAGGGACGCAATGTATGGGAGCCTTTTGAGATAAAGCAGATTAGAGAACTTAAAAATGCAGTTACAACCTTTGGGCCGACTGCGCCTTACACCATTGCCATGCTGGAGAACCTGTCTTCTGGGCCCCTCACCCCCGCGGACTGGATTCAGCTGGCAAAGGCGTGTCTGCCCTCGGGCAGTTACCTGGATTGGCGAGCCTGGTACGCAGAGTTCTCTGCAGAGCAGGCTGAGAGAAACGCCAATCGGGGAAACCGGGGGTGGAACAAGGAAATGCTTATGGGAGAAGGTCGGCACGCTGATGATCAGACTCAGTTCCCCGGCGCTGTCTATGAACAAATCAATGCCATAGGGCTCCGCGCCTGGAAGCAAGTAAGTGGTGCCGGAACAGCCTCCTTGTGTCTTTCAAAAATAATTCAGGGTACCACAGAGCCATTTGTTGACTTTGTGGCCCGAATGCAAGATGCTGCCGATAAGATATTTTCTGATCCGGGAGTGGCTCGACCGCTGGTAAGGCAGCTGATTTTCGAGCAATGTACAAAGGAGTGCAAGGCAGCAATAGCTCCTCATAAGAACAAGGACCTCAACGCCTGGATTAGGATATGTAGAGAGATAGGGGGGCCGCTCTCCAACTCGGGAGTGGCTGCTCTCCTGGCCGCGGCTGTACAGCAGAGGGGACCTCGCGGGTTAGAAGGGGAATGTAAGGCTAAAGGGTGTTTTGCCTGCGGGGAGCCAGGACACATTAAACCCCTGTTCGACCTTCTAAAGGGAGACCCAGATATAGCCTCCCACAGGAGGCTCACTCCTGAGGCAAGAGCTGCCTTACAGAGAGTGGAAAAAGCCTTAGGTGGGGCTACCTTACACAGAATTAAACCAGGGCGACCCTTTGATGTCTGTTTGCTACAGACTAGTCTACAGCCTACAGCGGTGATTTGGCAGAAAGGACCACTACTGTGGATACACCCTAAGGTCTCACCTGCAAAAGTCATAGAGCATTACCCGGAGGCAGTCGCTTCATTGGCCCTTGAAGCGCATGATAGAGCTGTCCAACATTTTGGCTCAGGACCACAAGCCATCCGAGTACCCTATACGGCCAGCCAGATCAAGACCCTGGCTGCCTGCATAGATACATGGGCCATTCTGAGATGTGTTTTCCATGGGGATATAAACAATCAATACCCTAAAGACCCTATCTTGTCATTTGTCACTCAGCACCCTATAATTTTTCCAAAGGTTACTGCCTCTGAGCCATTAGTCCCAGCAACTACAATATATACAGATGGCTCCAAGACGGGGATAGTCGCCTATGTGATCCTAGGCAAGCCCCCGGTTACCATACAATTTGAACCAGATCAGCCTCAGGTGGTGGAACTACAGATCGTTAAAATGATTCTTGAACGGTTCTCAGAAGCCATTAACATTGTCTCCGATTCTAGGTATGTGGTCAATGCTATGCAAGTGCTTGAGACTGCCGGTTTAATTAGATCCACTTCCACAGTGGCTGGGCTGTTCCTGTCTATCCAGACATTGCTTCAGAACAGACACCATAAGGTCTTCACCACCCACATAAGAGCACATACATCCCTGCCAGGGCCCATGGCACAGGGGAATGCGTTATGGATTTTTACCTTACTAACACCAATCGAGCGAGCCCGTGCCTTCCATGATAAGTTTCATGTCAATGCCAGGACACTAGCAAACCATTTCCATGTTTCCAGAGCAGATGCACGAGATATCGTGCGACTATGTGACTCCTGTGCCACATACAAACCTGCCATACCGATGGGAGTAAACCCTCGAGGTTTGATCCCTGGTGATGTTTGGCAGATGGACATCACACATATACAGGAGTTTGGAACTCTTAAATATGTTCATGTTTCCACAGACACCTGTTCTCACGTCATATTTGCAACAGCAGAAACAGGTGAAAAAGTGTCTAATGTGATCAATCATTGCCTGGCGGCTTGGGCCGCATGGGGCAAACCAAAAATATTAAAAACTGATAATGGACCAGCCTATATAGGCAAAGCCTTCAATGAGTTCTGCAAAATGATGGAGGTTCAATTAAAACATGGTATCCCATACAATCCCCAAGGTCAAGGAATCATTGAGAGGGCTCATAGAAGCCTCAAAGAAATTTTACAAAAACAAAAAGGGGGAGTAGGCCAAGGCCTGGCCCCAAAGGCACGATTATCCATGGCACTATTCACACACAATTTTTTAAATTTAAATAATGATAATCGCTCCCCAGCTGTGGAGCACTGCAACCCTTCCCCCAACCATAAAGGGTGGGTGAAGTGGAAAGATGTCCTGACAGGACAATGGATGGGCCCGGATCCAGTGGTCAGCTGGAACCGAGGCGCGGTTTGTGTTTTCCCACAGGAATCGGGACGAGAACCACTGTGGATACCGGAGAGACTGACACGGGCGACAAAGCCCTCGACTGAAGATCAGACCTGCCCTACCGGAGATCCATCACAGACCAACCAACAAGATGAATAGAAATAGCGGTAGCCCGAAATGGACAAGAAGATCCTCAGGCATATGCATGGCTCGCTCGCCTAGCCTACGACCGAGTCTAGGGGCGGTGAGCTTCCCACACTCCTCCTCTAAAAAATTATGACATAGCTGGGTAGGAGAGTCAATGACGGGTAAGAGCGTACTCCCCCGGTGCGACTCAACCTAAGCCAGGCCCTACCCCATCCTGCACGTAAGCCGCTGGACTGTTAGATGCTGCCCAGGTCTAAATTTCTCTCCGAGGGGATTTCTTTACGGAGAGAAAATGAGTGCAAGCTTGTGTGCATCCAGGTTCCGTCCAGTTTGTGCCTGGCCCTAGAAAAAGGACGAGGGCCTCAGGGCCTTGGCAGACCATGGGACGGCCGACCAGGGTCTAAGCCAAGGACCTACGGTGGGCCTACGCATAGGGCATAAGCCTCTGCACCCAGTCCAGGAAGGGCTACGATGCGCACATTTATAAAAAAAATAAAAAAGGGGGAGATGTTGGGAGCCGCAGCCCCGAGCCCGGTCGCCTCACTTGGCGGACGTGAGGCCTGTAGTAAAGAGCAAAGCCTGAGGTAGATTACCCCTCCCATCGAGCACGTTAGTTTCCTGCTTACCGCGTAAGCAACCCGCTCAACAATATAGTCTGCCTGGCAACTGATGATGTTAGCCAATCAGCTTGCCTTGCTCACTTTAACATGATTGGACACTGTATCCGTATATATACTGGTGCCACCCCTGGGGGGGAAGAAGAAGCCCGGAAGTAGAAGCCCAGAAGGAGCCGCGGAGAGCGGACCGGTAGAGGCTTCGGAGCGAAGCCCGGAAGGAGCCGCGGGGAGCGGACCAGAGGAGGCTTCGGCTGGGAGCGATCCCAGGGCAGGCTGTACGGAGAAGAAAAATAAAAGAAAAGGTTGTCCACTGCCAGACTTTGTCGTGTGTCCTTCCTACCGGCCGGGAGCGGACATCGACAGCAAGGCAGGATTCCAATGGGAAGAGATCAGCATTACTGTCTTAAAAAGACAAAAGACACAAAGCAAGTCAGAGCCAGCCACAGAAAGAGAAAGCTGATGTTGCTGCCAAATAGAAAAGAGGAAGCTGGTTTCTCAGATCCCTTCCATGAGTGAAAGGTGTTTAATCAAACTTCCAATATAACATAAAGGGAGGAGACAAATCCAGCCTCATCATGAGTTGAATTTTGACCCCAAATGATATACCCCGTCTCAACTTTTGTTATCTGTTAACTCAGAAACAGGATCCCTCCAAATGTAATCAAGATAGGATGCCCTCATCATACCTGATTGGGGGACACCCTAAATTCAGTCACTGGTGTCACAAGAAACAGACACAAGGCAGACAGATACATGAAGATGATGCATCCATAAGCCTAGGACACAGCTAGAAAACGGAAAGCACAGCGGGCTAAGGTGATAATGGAGACAGTCACAAGTAAGATTCAGACAGAGTTCTAGAAGTCTGAAACAAACTCATTCAGTAGCCAACCGAAGGAGCCAACCCTACTAATGAATGTCTTGATTTCAGACAGCCACTCTCCAGAGCTGTAAGAGTGGATGTTCTAAGCCACCGTGTTTGTGACTTTTGTTATTACCATCACAGGGAACTGAAATATGGTCCTCCTCCAGCAAGTATCCTGTTGTAGACGCAGCTTGCCTGGAATAACTCCAGCCTCAATCACAGGACGGGGCAAGGAGGCTGGAGGGTCAGTCAGCCAGGAGCAACCAAGCAGGCACATGTGCCTGTAAACAACTCTTTACAGTGATTCTGTACCAAATGGGCTAGTTAAGGGAGAAAAAACTCACCTTGCATATTGTTGGTGGCCAGAGTTGGGTCAAAATTAGTTTTTTCCACTCGTGGCTGCCACTGTTAAAAGACAAGAAGCTTATTTTTCAATAACTTCTTTAAAGTTTCACACACACACGCACATATACATCCCCCCATCCATTCAACATTAAGTATCCATGAGACTAGGGATGCTGCTGGACATGAAGTCCCCACTTCCAGTGCACATTACAAGGAAGTCAATAAACACCGTAAGAAAACATAAGTGATGACCTTAGTGGCACAGAAGTTAAATACGAGTGTAAGAGGGCAGGCAGATCAGAGTTCAGTCAGAAAGGGTTCCACTCAAGGGAAGCAAATGAGCCATAAAATGCCTTTCTTAGCAAGGTGTGGCAGTGCACGCTTGTAATCCTAGCACTTTGGGAATCTGAGGCAGCAGGATTACATGTCTCGACAATTTAGAAATTTAGTGATACTCTGTCTCAAAATGAAAAATAAGATACAAAGGACTGCAGAGTAGCTCAGGAGGAGTCTTCCTAGAGATGTTTAAGCAGTTTTGAAATACAGATGCATAATCCTTTAGCTGTATTTGTGAACTCATAAGGTCCTGAAAAGTGGACATTTGTTATATTTCAAGTGGCAACCATACATGATCTGAGTTAACAAAAAACCATTTATTGTCACAACCTCACTTGGCACTTAGGTTTGCTGATAAGGTATTACTTAAAAGACTAATTAGGGCTGTTAGCTAGAGCTAGATCCATGCACAGCACAATGTCACATGTGCTTGCTGGAACACAGGACATGCATTATGTCATACTGCACTTGTTATCTAGAACACAGGATGTACATCCAACTGCCTATACCACAAGCCTGAAAACTGTAAAACTCACCTGACTTTAAGATTTCACAGAAGCCCAGATAGGACAGAAGAAATAAAAATAGGTGTGAAGGAGGAAACAAGGAAAATCAGTTTTAAAATTATTCTTTTAAGATGACAGCTGGGGACTAGGGATTTTGCTCAGTGGCACAAGAGCCAGCCTGCTAAGCATGAGGTCATGAGTTCAATCTCAGGTATCAACAAAAAAAAGGGAAGACAACATCTTCAGGAAAAAGTTACCCAAAATTATCTATATCTGTGCTTTCTAGGTTTTCTGGACTATCACATCCAAAAACTCTTAAAGGTACTTTAAATCCATAAGTTATTTTAGTTGACAGGATAAAAGGCAGGAAGCTGGCCTTGAGAAACAAATTCAGCAATTTCAAAGAATGTTTTTAGGCAAAACACCTTATATCAACTACACACAAAAACAAAGCATACACAACACCTGTAATCCCAGCACTTAAGAGGCTGAGGCAAGGATCAACATGAGTTCAAGTTCAGTTTGGGCTACATAATAAAGTCAAGGCAAATCTGAACTGCACAGCAAGAACCTATCTCAAAAATTCAAACAGAAAAACAATACAGGGGCCCTGCCTTTCCCCTGTAAAATGGGTCATTCTTTGATCTGTAAAAGTATCTTTCTATCTGTGAACTGTTGCTTTTTCCTGTAAAATAAGCCGAAACTTTCTATAGATTCACAAATTACACAGATTTCCACTACCCAAAACACAAATATCCTCAGCTCTAGACTATAGTTGTCTGTCTCCTTCTTAAGGGTCCACATTCCATTTCTTTGAATGTGAACTTTAAAAAAGTCTGCCTAATAAACCTCTTTATCCTCTTACTGATGTGTCCTGAAAATTATTTTTCTGTGATGGAAGTCAGAGAATGAGAAACCTGCCCAATGGGTGGGGTGAGTCGTGGTTCCCCATCTTTACTTCAGGGACTCCTCAGACCCTGTCCATTGACAAAGGTATCACAGGCAGCTAAGCTGGGTAGAAATTAATATACAGACAGGGTTGGGGTGCTCAAGGATATCAGTGAAAAGTAAAAACATTAGAATTGTGGCTGGAGGCACATCTGAAAACCAGGCATCAAGATAAAAATGCAATGGACAGGCCTATGCACCTCCCTAAGGGATAAGCAGTAACTTGGAACTATATTCTAATTAGCACCACCAAGTCCAGGAAGTCCCAACAGATATCAATGGCCCACAAGGATGAAAAGAACTAGTCCCATCCCTTCCCCAAAATGCCTTTGTTCTTTTCCGTACCCTGCTATGTGACCCTTCTCCCTATTGGATCAATATTAGCTAATGAGCTATACTTGTAATCCTATTGGTTGCTTACAGTTTGACCCATGTTGTACCCACACTGTGACCATGCTGTATAAATTACTCCTGATAAAAGGCCTTGGTAGGCACCCACACCACACCCCTCCCGTCCCTCAGAGGCTATCATCTCTCCATTAAACCTTTCCTACTCTTAAACTCCATTGTCCTTTGGAATTCATTCTTCAATTTCAGGGACACCAACTCAGCACATCTGACATCTAGTAGGTTGAGTTACATTTGTCCAGTGTCAAAAGAACTGTGGAGCTGTAGTTTATCCACAACTAGAATTCCTAGTAGGAGGCCTGATAGGGTTCAGAAGTGGTTTGTTTCTTAAAGGTTCACATGTGGGAGGTTTTGAGGTGGGATAGAAGAAATAAAAATGAGGGAAAGAGACAAAAGAAACAGATTTTAAAAACTGAACAGTACTTTAAAGAAAAAATCGCACCTTCAGAACACAAGCCTAATTCATTTTTTTCTCTTCTCCCAAAATATAGTAGGGGCGGGGGACAACCTTTCACCTACAAATAGATTTGTCCTTACCCTTTTTATCTTCAAACTGTCCTCTTTTCCCTATGAACAGACCACCTTTTTAAGAATTCCCATATGAAAGGGCCATTATCTCACTTTGGATGGGCCTTCCTTTTCCGCCCATTAGACAAGACTAACACTGGATTATTTTATAGAATTCCAGAACTCCCACCATCCAAAACACAGAAAAGATCCCCAGTTCCCAAGTATACTGTGCCTTCTCAGAGCATCCACACTCTACTCTTTCATGCCTCCTGTATCTATCTCCAGTAAATCTTCTCATGCTTCTTTCACTGACCTGAAAATTCTTTTTCCAACACAGGAGTTAGAGAACCTACAAACTTATTTTAAAAGGGTGTGTTAAGTTCCTTATTTCAGTTTTGGGACTCTCAGACCCAAGACAGCATCATCCCCCGGATGGCACTACTGGAATCTTTAAGAAGGGAGTCCTAGTGGGAGGACCCCAGGTCAACTGAGGATTGTTGTTGGAAAGATTAAAGTATTTCCCCTGGGATGCTGGTTAGCTCTCCTGAAAAAAATTGTCATAAAAGCCTGAGCTGGTCCCACACCGTTTCTTTGGTTTTCTTCCTGTCTGGGGATGTGATCCTGATCTCTGTCTCCCTCAAGTGCTCCCTAGGAAGTCTTCAGCCAAAGGCAAGGCAGTGACCCGTTCCAGGATTGAGAGATAAACTGCCTGTCTTCATAAGCACTCTGCCTTCAGGTATTTTACTATGCTAACAAAAAATGGACTAATGCGAGGTATCCATATTTACAAAGTTAAAACATACAAAGGGTGCAAAGTAGAACGTACTCTAAAAATGGAAAAAGCACTTACTCAGTGCTCCCCCAGATAGTGATAATTAGAAGAGCTGCACGCATTACAAGGGGCTGGGGATGAACACACTACAGCCAAAGGCCTTCAGTTAAGGTTCATTATCACTCTACCGGGCTGTTTCAAATACTCTGGGCACCTCAACTCCTCTCTCCTCAGACCAACTCTGTGGGAGTCCCAGGGCCTTACACCAAGAGAGAAATTAGGGCTTCCAGCACCCCACACTGCTTCTCAGGCTCTGATTTTGGGGCAATGTAGCTGCAGTTCAGAAAGTATGCTTTCTGGAAACAACTGAAATACCATGTTATCTCTTAAAGTACACAGTAAAACTGCAATAGTGCTTTATTGAAAGTAAAATCCACTTTTTCCACATCTACTGTGCAAGTATGGAACGCTTCTATTAACCTGATCATTACACAAACAGAAAAGAATAAAGTTAAAAACAGTTGAAACGTGGTTCTCTCCCGCAGTTAACATCGCAATTACCCACGACACCCCGCGTGCTCCCTTCTACTGAAGGGCAGCGGCCCTAACCTGGGGGCCTCTGGAGCGCCGGGAAAAGAGGAAGCCGGCGTCCCCGCCGGCCATTCCCAAGTCCCGCAGGCACGGGGCCGCCTTTCTCCCCGCTCGCTCACCTCCAAGGCCGGCCCGCGCCGCTCAGGCAGCACAGCGCCAGGGCCCAGACCAGAAGTGCTCCGCGCACGGCCCGGGGCGCCATGAGCCTCTCACACTGCGTCCCGACCCACCACCCGGAGCACGGTGCGGCCCGCAGCCAGCAACCCTGTGGCGCCGGGGCCGCCGAGCTTCACCCAAGTCCCCGGCACTCCGCTTCCTGACCCCCGCGGACCGACACGCCCCCTACCCGGGACGCCTCGCCTGCTCGTCCTAAACAGACACGCCCCCAGACAAACCCTTGGCCAATCCCGGCCCGATCAAGAGGTCTCTGTCACGCCCCCAGCCTCTGGGTAGAGGCGGGCCGGCGCCACGCCCCCGGCGTGCGGGACTACAAGTCCCTTTGCCTCTCCTTCACCCCCGCCGCCTTCCCAGGCGGACCTCCCCCTAGGCGCACTTTGGAGAAACTAGGCTGAGGCCTAAGTAGCGTCCGAAAGTCGGTCGCCTCCTCGCCTCCACCCACGGGGACTCTGAGTGAGCCGGGCGTGAAGCCCGAGGCCACCAGCGGCACCACCTTCTTCAGTAAACCTGTGGCTCCTGGCGGGCCGCCATAGCAACCCCTTCCCATGTGCTGATCAAACTGCCCTCTGCCCTCAGGCCTCACCCAGGGACACTAGAGCCCAGCGCCATGCAAAACAGCGCTTGGTGTACCTGCAGCCTGATCACCTTGGCCCTCTGCTCATGGCCAAGACTGTGCGGGGACCTGATTGGGTTCCACCCTAAAGACTTAGATCCCCTGAAACCAATCTCACAGCGCTGCACCCAGGGACCCAGCAGATACTGGGGTGTGAGCGGACCTGCCGTGAAAGTATGTTCATCCCCATGGACTGTACAGAGGGGTCCACAGAGATCCTGGCTTCCTCCCCAGCCCTTCCTTCTTGCGCTTCCACCCAGGGTCACCCCTCTTTGCTGAAGCACTGAGCTCAAACCTGGACCCCTGACTCACCTACACCAGGTTGGTGGACAGTCACAGGTGTGTTTGTTAATAAAACTGATTTTCTTGTGGTCGTCTGTGTAAATAAGGTGGGCTCATAACACGCTCTGCTAGAGGCCTGGGCGTTGCCCAGATAACACATTCTACTGCTCAAAATGGTAACATGATTATTGCTTTAATATATCTTTCTATGCAGACTGCACAGTGAGGCCCATGTCAGTTTTGCACTCCCTGAGACCTGACCCAAGCCCTGTGGATAGCATCCAGTAGATGCTAAATAAACGTCATCTGTGCAGTGGACATGGCATGTGCTGACCTGTCCTCTTCTGCTCCACCATGACCCCGCTCCTATTTCCTCTGCTTCTTTTAATTCCTTTCTCTGTAACAAGGGCACTACTGTAATAATGAGAGGGAACAGTGACAAGGCCTCCAAATCTCAAGGGCTTGGCACAAAGGATTTCTATATAGGGAGGAGAAAAGGCAGCAAACAGTTGGATTAGATTGTGGATTTATCAGAAAGCAAGTCAGGGAAGCTTGACCTAAGGCCAGGTTTGGGTTACAAGCTATCCTTCACTGGGCACCATGAACACATCCGTGAAAACCATAAGTTAATCCTGTCCTGATAAGACAAAGAATGGAGGGTCAGTGTCCTGCTTGTCCTGAGTAGGCCTCCTTGATGTGCAGCTGGATTGTGTAGGGAAAGAGCATGCCTCAAACCAAGTCATTTTCCAGAGCCCAAAATGAGGGAATTTTTAAAAAGTTGTCTTTTGATTGCTTAATTACATAGTGAACAGTTCTGGTTTTTTGTTGTTTGTTTGTTCGCTTTGTTTTGCAGTGCTGGGCATGGGCCCCAGAGACTTGTGTGTGCTCCACCAATAAGTTATGTTTCCAGGCCTGGAGGTTAATCTTGATTGTCAACTTTATTGATACTTGATAAATGTCTGGAAAATTAGTAAAGCACATTCCAGGTATGTCTAGCTGAGTCGTGAGCATGATTGAGGTCTGTATCTGGTCCCTGCTGGCCCTTTCCTCTCTGGCACTTCTTCTTCTGTGTTCTGTTTCTCAGATGCCGTGAGTTGAGCAACTGCTGTGCCATGCACTTCTGCCATGATGTTTTTGCCTTGAGGCAGGTGATCATGGACTTAAATCTTTGAAATTATGACCCCAAATAAATCTCCCCTCCGTTAAGCGGTTTATGTCAAGTATTTAGTAACAGCAATGATAAACCGACACAGGCTTAAATAAAATTCACTGTTGTCACCCCCATTCTGAAGGAGCCACCAAGTTACTTCTTGTTCAAAGGCCTCATTTACTGACACTATAGCTGTCTTTATCTGTTAGAGTTTAGATTTAGAATGTATCCCAAAAATCTCATGTATTCAGGCATGGTTGGTTCATGAGAATACTATATTCATCAGTGGATTCATAGCTAAATGTACTGTGAGGAGGTAGGGCCTGTTAGTAACAGGTGTGTCACTAAGAAATGTGACTTTGAAGGGTATGTCTCTCTCCCTGGCTCCTACACTAGGCACTTCCACCAGATCATTTCTACCTTGGAACCAACCAACCATGAACTGACTACTCTGAAACCATGAACCATAATAAACTTCCCCTTTAAGCTTCTCCTGTTGAATGGTTTGCCCCAGCAATGGGAAAGTGACTAATATACCATCATCTGAGAGTTTCCTGCCATCTTTTCACATAATTGCTCCTCCCTTCCAGCAAGTACATTGACTGTGAAGCAAATTCTTTACAAATTCTCTCACAAGGGCCCTTGCACCTCATCTTGTATTCATAATTTTCAATTTCTGTTTCGAAAAAGGAGTGTCTGAATGTACAAAACTTCTACCTCCAAAACTTGGATGTGAATCATAAATATCCATCCATACTATCCACAGAAAAATCCTAAAGAGAGCCGTGTGCAGAATGCACAGTTTATAAATATTTTTGTAACAAAGAAGAAAGAAAGGAAGGGAAAGAGGCAGCTGAGGAAGAAGCTGGAGGCTGGCCAGCTTTCACAGGAACAAAGGCACTGGGGAGGTGGGCAGGGACTGGGTGATGATTTTATTGGCCCCCACAAAACATTGTAAGAGGTACTAATTATGAAGCTTAAGAGATTGAGTTAGAAAGCACTGTAGCATGTCTTTGGAGTGGAGCAGGGAACAAGGTTCCACCGCCATTCTCATGAACAAATGTCTTTCAACCAATGGTGGGGATACTTTCATAACACCATCTCCTCTTGGTTCTAGCTCCTGGGTTCTTGTTCCCTTATCAGTGTTTGCCAGACAATGCTGCAGTAGCCAACAACTCTGAATCTCGGTGGCTAACTGCAGCACTAGAAGCTCATACTGTGTTCGTATTTCTTGCTGCCCATGGCTCAGTGCAGCTGTGGCCCTGGTCTTCTGCTCCATGAACACAGGCTGAAAAATAGCCCATTCCCATGGTGGAGCAATAGGAGAACCACCCTGTGGCTCTAAACACATCGGTTCTGATGTTTAGTCTTTCAGTGAGATCCTTTTGGCCAAAACTGAAAAGGTAACCTCTGATATCAGAGGAGTAGAAATAAGCCTTTGATGCAGCTATGTAGGGACTAGCAGCAACAGATACAAAGTTTACTACAGGGCTGGGGATTTAGCTCAGCGGCATAAGCGCCTGCCTTGCAAGCAGGCAGTCGTGAGTTTGATCCCTGGTACCGATAAAAACAAAAAAAAAAAAGACAAAAAAAAAAAAAAAAAAAAAAAAAAACAAAGTTTACTACAACTGAGGAAGTAGAAAGAGGAAGTTTTAAGAAATCAGTGAAAAAAATGAAGACTAGGAAGTAGACATAAATTACTGTATATTACAAAGGAAGACATTTCCAGGCTGGCACCCCAGTCCAAGCAGCCCTGTGCTTCCTAAAAGGACAGTGAAGCTGATTAGAGTGACCAGAAGCACAGGAGAGGCACAAACCTGACAAGAGTGTCATGTGTGAGAATAGTATATGGTGGTTGGAGTTTGTCAGATGACAGCTAAGAAATAGCTACACTCCACTGCAGAACAATGAATACATCAGACCTTGGAGTGCAAAGTTTTAAACCCTAAGTACTTGGTATCTGTACCCCCAGCAATTGGAGGAATGGTGGCCAGCCAAGCCAAAGGGAGCTTGCCAACTGGATTTCAAGGATATGTAGAGGAGTATAGCCAGAATGCTTGCCCTGGGCCCGGCATAGGCTCAAAGGAAGCAAGACAAAGGATAAGCACACAGTGTTCCTTTCCTGAGGACCAAGCACGGAGACCCAGTGTAGAATGTAGACTTTTTAGCTCCTCAGAAGCCTGGACCCACTCCACTTAAGAGCAGGTCTGGCTTTTGCTCACATTCTTCCACTGACAAGCTGCATGACCTGTTCAAGTTAACCTGTATAGAAAGGCAGGTTATTTCATTATTTCCTTATTTGTCTAACAGGCAATCAATATGCTTCCTATGCATGGTGATTAAAAGAATGTCAGCAATGGTTTCAGGAGCCAGCCACATGGCTTTCATCTATTATGATAGAGGCTGGGGAGCTTCACAAGGAGGGAAGGAAAACAGGGCTTTCTGGAGGGCTCTGCCTTGGATTTGATTTTAGACCTGAATGTCAGAGGGCATAAGAAGAGACACGTGGTCCCCTCTTTATTACCTCCATTTAGGATTCTCACATTTTTAATAGCTTTGTCTATTTTTTAGGTGATTTCACCATAAAAACTCCTTTGTAGACAAAATTACTTAGCTATAGAGCAAAACCTGTTTGTGATTGTTCTGCTCCTGTCCTTTCTCTTCTTCTCATATCAGTATTTCTGGCCTTACCATGTTAGGCTGGCATCATAGTACATATTTGGCAAAATTGTTTCATTCTGAACTCTGGCTGTGACAGTATGAAAAAAAAATAGAAAAGAAATGGAAAAGACCAGTCAGGTGTTTCTCACAGTGTAATTATTTACTTGAAGTTGTCACTTAAATAACTGGAATCATAAGGAAGAAACTTTTTGGAACAAACAAGTATACAGTAAATCAAAGAGCATAATATTCTGAAAGTTAAAAGAATACAATATCATTCTTCATTGTAAAGTTTTGTGTCTTAGGGTCAAGAAGCCATCACCAAAGTTTCATCCTAAAAACATATACTCTGGGGGCTGGGGATTTAGCTCAGAGGCATAAGTGCCTGCCTTGCAAGCAGGCAGTTGTGAGTTCGATCCCCGGTACCGAAAAAGACAAAAAAAAAAACCAAAAAAA